AGCAGGGCTATTCAATTACAAATTCAATTGGGCCAGATTTTAAAACCGAGACCTTAACCTGGGCCGGACATTTTCAGCGGTCAATAAGCAGGAGGTAATGACAAATTTCAAACCAACACAAATAAATATAATGAAATAAGTGATGTTTATTCATTTCCCCTTTAGATTTTTGTATAACGCAGCCACATCAAAAAGTGAATAAAATACAATTCAAGAACTGTAATTGAACTGAGGTAGAAGCAATACTTTTTCACTTCTGAAATATAAGAATAAACATTTTTGTCTTATGTAAATCATTAAAAGAAAAAGTGCACATTAATGGTGATAACATTGTTATCTCTTTTGAAATAAAATAAACATATCTGACACAGAAACATCAAAAAGTGCATTATAAACTTCTCTAAATAAACAGAACCTGAAGTAGTAGAAATGCTGTTTTTCATAAACAAATATTAAACGAATAAAAAGAATATTTTTGTCACAAACTTTTGTCTCCTTTTTGAAATGAAATGAAATGAAAGTAACATTCTGGTAAAATAAAACAGTACTTGTCTGTCCAGGAAAACGACGGTTTTCATCGTCAACTCTTCGTTTACGGGGTTGAGAGAGACATACTTCTTGAGATGCTAACATGGTTTATATCAGTAACTTTGTAAAAGTAACTTTCGAAACAAAACAACGCCCTGCATTGTGGGTTACGTGGAGTGTTGCATTCACTGTCTGAAGTACTGTATGGATTTCGAGTTATTCTCGCAAAATGTGTTTGTTTTTTTTCTTCTTCTTTCTTTTTTTTTGTCTGAACCACGAGCACAATAAGATCAGGCACAAGTTAAACATTTACAAATAAAATAATGGCACAATATATTAGCTCTCATCTCCACCATAAGCACTTTGTAAGTCAAAGGGCTTATAAATCACAAGACAAACTGCAATATGATTTGGGAAAAAGCAATGTTGTTTCTTATCTGCCTTAGATTACTAAGTACAGAGCTATTAGCCAAACCTATTCATTCTAAATGTCACAAATACTCTGACGAGAAACTGATTTAGTATGACACTTTATGATGATCAACAATGTAAATTACATCTGCTGCCCTTCAGTACCTCTTTTGCAGCCTCTGACTCAGAAACCTCTGTGGTAGGCCTGGGTATGACTTGGCTGGATGTACGTCTGCCTATGGGAGTCCCATGTTCTATTCGACTGGAGTGGTCATTGTCACTTGAAGAAAGTGATGTGTTGGTATCCATGAGGGAGGTTGATGTGGAATGATCTAAAGGAGAGAAGTCTAAAAGAAATAACAGAACTGTGACATGCCTGAAATGTAGCATTTGGTGCTTTCCCAGACACAGGTTAAAAATCATCATCAAATCAAACCTGATCCCACATTTCCAAACTGTTTTTGCAATTAGATACAGATCTTTCTTTAAAATATAATTTTTGATAATGTAATTTGTTATAGTAGCCAAGGCAGAGACATGACATCTCAAATGATATTTGTGAAGCAGAAAAACCTTGAACATTGATTACAACTAATTTTATACTGAGACACACCTTCCTCTGAAATTCCATCTTGTGTTGTTGGACTTGGACCAGGATCAAGCTGTATCTCAAGAATGATGTTTTCCTCCAGTGTCTGAGCTGGGTAGTTAGGGTTAATAGATTTCATGTGATCAGAATCAGGTTACAAAAAATAACTACACTTTCAAATATGATAAGAAGAAAATACAGTTAGATTATAAAGCAACACTTAAATATTTAAAACACAGCTATTGTCAAGACATGAAATAGTATATAGACTTATGCCAGAGGTTCTTTTACCTGATTGGTTGATGATCATGTTCCAATGAATAAAGTAAGACACTCCCCACTTTTTACTGATGATGACTTAACCAAAATCTGATTTAACCAATATCAATGATTTATGGATGACAGAGAAATGTATCTACCTGCATCAGGAATTCTGTCACGTACTGTCAGGCATAAATCCGGACTGGCCTCTATCAGTTCAGAAAAGATGTCTTCCTCGACTAATGTGTTGGTTTCATCAAAAGCATCAAGTTCGGTAGCATCAGGAAGCCCAAACTTGTATTTGACTGTAAGATAACCATGAAAACAGATGTAAAATTGATACCCAAATTGAAAACCAAAATAGCCATCCTAAATACATAAATCCTTGTGTTTATTTGTTGTGAAGGCAACTTTGAGATGGCTATACACCTTGAGCAATGAAATCCAAAAAGGTGAACCCCAACAGCAATCGGATGTACTTCTTGGTATTCTGGTACTTCACCTTGAGCAACATTGCCACATCTTTAGACTGCACCTTGTAGAATATGTGGAGAAATGTGGCTGTTAAACAGACTTCATCAGGTTTTAATTTTTGAGACTGAGATGGACGCATTGTGGTCCCTGGCCTGTAGCAGTGTTTCAGCCGCCACTCTCGGTTTGGGCCCGCCACAGTCTTTCACAGTAAAAAAAAAAAAAATAATAATAAAAATAAAAACTGCCGTCTCTCTCGCATGCAGTCGCACCACATGTGCACACACACATACACACACAGATATGGGTGCATGGAGAGGTCACGCTTGGCCGCTAGAAAACGGTAAATGCGATATATCACGCTAATTGTAGTGTTGAAACTAGAAAATTCCAGGGAAATTTTGAGTGCCACGGGGGCTACTGCCGGGATGAGTACATGATTTATTTCCAGTGTTCAAAAGTCACCCTGATCATATTTTGGTTTTGAGAAATGTCTTGATATAAAAGACTGATATAAAACAATGTCACATCCCTCCATCATGTATTATGTGGGAAATATCTCATATT